GGTCCGTGTTATAGATAGGAGATGACTGTGATAGGAAAAAACTGTGCAGGGGGAACTATCTGTGCTTGTGTGTGTTGTGACTCGTCCTGAGTGTTGTTCCCCAGGGCTCAGTGTTGGGGCTGCTCCTCTTTAATATCTTTATCGATGCTCTGGATGGGAGGACTGAGGGCACCCTCAGCAAAACTGCCAATGACACCAAGCTGGGAGAAAGACTTGATCTGCATGAGGGTGAGAGGGCTCTGCAGAGGCGTCTGGACAGGCTGCGTGCATGGGCTGAAGCCACCGTATGAGGTTCAACAAGGTTAAGTGCCAGGTCCTGCACTGTGGTCACAACAAGCCCATGCAGCACTATGGGCTTGGAGCAGAGCGGCCGAAGAGCTGCGTGGCAGAAAATGATCTGGGGGTGTTGATCGAGAGCTGGCTCAACGTGAGCCAGCAATGAGCCCAGGTGGCCAAGAAGGCCAAGGGCCTCCTGGCTGGTCTCAGGAACAGTATAGGAACAGTCAGCAGGAGTAGGGAAGGCATCGTCCCTCTGTGCTCGGCACTAGTGTGGTCGTAGCTTGAACCCTGCGTTCACTTTTGGGCCCTTACTGCAGGAAAGACACTGAGGTGCTAGAGCATGCCCAAAGGAGGGCAACGAAGCTGGTGAAGGTGCTGGAGCAGAGACCTTGTGAGGAGCGGCTGAGACAGCTGCAGTAATTTAGTGTGGAGAAGAGGAGGCTCTGAGGAGACCTTATCGCTCTCTACAGCTACCTGAAAGCAGGTTGTGGTGAGGTGGGACATTGGGTCTCTTTTCCAGAATAACTATTGGTAGAACAAGAGGAAATGGCCTCAAGTTGCCCCAGAGGAGGTTCAGGTTAGACATTAGGAAGAATTTCTGCATGGGAAGAAACAGGCTGCTCAGGGAATTGGTGGAGTCACCATCCCTGGCAATGTTGAAGAAATGTGTAGATAGGCGCTTATGGACATGGTTTAACAGGCATGGTATTGAAGGGTTTGTGATTTGACTTGTTGACTTTGAACATCTTTTCCAACTGCAATGATTGTATGAGGCTAAATTTTATATTTAAGAAGCCTGCTTTGTCTCTGTCTTTACTGCTAAGGTCACTCATCCTAGAGAGTGTCTCTAGGCATACGAGGGAGAACGTGTTGAGTAGTCAGCATGGATTCACCAAGGGGAAGTCATATCTGACAAACCTAATATCCTTCTATGATGGTATGACTGGCCGGCTGGATGAGAGGAGAGCCATGGATGTTGTCTACCTTGACTTCAGGAAGGCTTTCAACACTGTTTCCCATAATATCCTCATATGGAAGCTCTGGGAGAGTGGTCTGAACGAGTGCACAGTGAGGTGGATCGAGAACTGGCTGGATGGCAGAGCTCAGAGGGTGGTGATAAATGGGGCCGAGCCCAGTTGGAGGCCTGTGGCCAGTGTTCCCCAGGGGTCAGTACTGGGCCCAGTGCTGTTCAACTTGTTCATCAGTGACCTGGGCGAGGGCACTGAGTGCACCCTGAGCAAGTTTACGGACGATACCAAGCTGGGTGGAGTGGTCAACACTCCGGAGGGCTGTGCTGCCATCCAGAGGATCTGGACAGGCTGGAGAGTTGGGCACAGAGGAACCTCATGAGGTTCAATAAGGACAAGTGCAGGGTCCTGCACCTGGGGAGGAATAACTCTAGGCATCAGTACAGATTAGGGGTCAACCTGCTGAAAGCAGCTCCACGGAGAGAGACCTGGGAGTCCTGGCTGACACCAAGTTAATCATGAGTCAGCAGTGTGCCCTTGTGGCCAAGAAGGCCAATGGGATCCTGGCCTGTATCAGGAGGAATGTTGCCAGCAGGACGAGGGATGTGATCCAGCCCCTCTACTCTCCTGCCCCTGCCCATTTCCATGTGAGGAGGAACTTCTTTACTGTGAGGGTGACAGAGCACTGGAACAGGCTGCCTGGGGAGGTTGTGGAGTCTCCTTCTCTGGAGGTCTTCAAAACCCGTCTGGACACCACCCTGTGCCGCATGCTCTAGATGTCCCTGCGTGAGCAGGAAGATTGGACTAGATGATCTCTAGAGGTCCCTTCTGTCCTTGAACATTCTGTGATTCTGTGCTTTGTTCCTGGTTTGTGGCATCATGTATTAATAAGAAGGTGAGGGAGAAAAGGCATATATTTCAGGATGAGGATCGGTGCAGCAAAAAGTGAAGTCATATAGACTTGAGAAAAGTGGAGTATGAAAAGTAGGGGAGCAGCTTACATTTTTCTCCTAAATACTTATAAAGAATGGTCATGTGTTTGGGTTGTCTCTAAGTGATGAAGATGACTGTAAGGTTACCAGGAACGCACCTCTTCCCTGAAGGTAGGGGAAGAAAGACTTAATTATTTAGCAAGTGCAATTATAAGCTAACTTTGCTTGAAGGACCTTGTCACAACTGGTGAAGGTGTTGTGTGACAACTGGAATTAAAGGTTGCCAGTAACCTGTTGTGGTTGAAGACCAAGCCTTGCCCTGCAGACTAAACACTACCCTGAAATTGACTCGGCCTCCTCCCTGACAGAGGAGGATGGCACTCTGTCCAGCCTAGAGACTAAACTTGGGTGTTCCAAGTAGTCTGTGTTAAACAGTACTCTTTGTATTCTCCTGTGCCAGCTTTCATTTGCCTTTAGCCTCTACCAATAATTGTTTGCTTTTCTGAAACCTCTGTGTTCATCTGGAATCCAAATGCTCTGTGCAAAAGCAGATATCTGTTATTTGGTCTCCTAACTGCAGTGCTCAATTGTTGGTGGCTGTAGAAAGCTCTCTTTTCCTTGATTGTCTTTTTTCCCTTGTCTAAATTGTGTGAATAGCCTGGATAAAAGTATCTTGATTAAGATACTCTGTCACATAAAGCCAGGATGGGCAGAGGAGAAATACCTTTTCTCCTTCTTTATATGTACTTAAAGAGCAGCTTCAGATGAAGGCCAGGTCCAAGCTCAGACAACAAGCAAGAATATGCCCCGCTTTAATGGAGCGGGAGCTGTCTTACACTTTGGGATTACTCGGTAGCAGTTGAGGATGTAATGTTGAGTCTGCAGCACTATCTCCCCTTCATGTGCAGTCTGTTTTCACCACTGTTGCTGTGCAGGCTTCTCCACTGTGAATAAAAGCCCTTTGTGTGGCGCCGCGGCATGGTGTGTTCTGCTCCTCGCTGTTGGTTCAATGTGCTGAGCTCCCTGGCTTAAGCTGCTGACAAAAGAGCGAGGCAAGCAGGCACATGCAGACCGAGTGAGCTCCCATCCCTTTTGGAGGCCAATGCTGTAGGGAACACAGCATTTCTCAAGGGGTGGGGCAACTTTGCTTCCTCTCTTTGTACCATACCTTCTCAATACATCTATGGCGATTTCTAATGTTCCTTACCAGAGGGCATCCTCCCGCATGACACTTGCACGAAACAAGTGCAGGGTGTCTGACCCACTTCCCTTGTTTACTCCACACTTGAGATAGTGCTCTGGATTGGATTCAAACAAGGACAGGTGAATGTGTTCAGGGCGGCTCGTGGGATGATGTGCACAAACTACCAACCTTGTGTGGTTGCATTGCGTTTTGCATGTATGTGTGAACTACTAATAGCACGCCTCTGAAAAAAGCTGCCTTTGCTCCACATGCCTGAATAGAATGAGGGCCCCTGTGCTGCTTTGTCAGATCAGAAATCCCTGACCCAACCTGTAAAGAATTGAACCAGCAACCAACCAGGATTTGCAGCCACCCTGTGTTGTTGACATGTTGTGTTGCTACAATCACAACAATGTTGCATTGATCAAGTTGGACAGGAGCAGAGTGCTTCATTGGAATTTGTTGAAGGAGTAATGTAGAAGGAAAAAGGGCTTAGGATAGAAACTGTATGGAGCATACAGGCCAAGACAGTACTAAACTCTCTTCTGCACGTACTGACACCCTGGGCTTCTGGTGGAGGGAGCTGTGAGCAAGTACAGGGGCAAGGCAGTGTAAGTATGGCCTAGACCTCATAAAAACAAATATCTTCTCCCTTTGCCTTCCTCCTCTAGTAAAGGAGGTGATGGGAACATTTCTGGTGGGCAGAGGAGGCCTCTACTGCATGTGTGTACATACACCCACCCACCCACGTTGTTTATTAGTGTGAGAACAACATTCCAGGCTTCAGGAGGGACATAGGGGAATGTCAGTGTCTGGATTTGCTGAATTCTGTAGTACACCTTGGACTTGCCAGAGCACAACATGATGATCTTGGGTATGTGAACAGGCTCTCCAAGAAAGATCTTCCCTGCTTTTTACCAGAAATAGTATTGTTCTGCAGTAGTCTTGTGCCATAATGCGTGGGTTCTTGATGTTGCAATATGTCTATAGAACTTTCTTAGTTTTTATTTACACATCTATATGTGCACCTATAGTGTGTTCAGACAATGTCTAAGGAGAGAGCTTGCATACCAGTGCAGGTAATCTCTGTGGTAGGTCCTTGCCCTGACACAAGGAAATGTATTGATTTACTGCAGTACCTCCTCCGGATGGAGGCATTAAGTAGTTGAATAAAAAGTCCATATATAGCTTCAAGTAGAGTACAAATCTTAGAACAGTACAGTCCAGTAGAATAGGCAGTGTAAACCATGTCTTGCCCAGAAATAGTACATTTGCATGATGAATGAGGGGTATACCTGAAGTGAATTGTTAATCTCTGGTGGTATTGCAGCTGTCAACCCATTGCATCTTAGTTTGCCTTTATACATTGACTTGTAAGGTTGTCCAAAACAACACTCTAAGGTATTGCTTCTAGATAGCAACAAAACTTTAAGGTGTGGGAGATGGATGAATGCAGTCCATCTCCTGCTTGGGACCCTTTGGATGCTCTTGTATCTTTGTATTGGCATAGTAGCAGGGAAAATGGGACACATGTTCAAAGGAGATTTATAAAGATCTAATTGGTAATGTGCTTTCTGCCACTAGAGAGCACAGCCTCTCTGGCAGGGGCTCTTGCTAATAATCTTCTCCCCCCTCCAGGTTGTGAAGACAATTGGCCTAAGAGAGGTTTGGTTCTTTGGACTTCAGTATCAGGACACCAAGGGCTTCTCAACCTGGCTGAAACTGAACAAAAAGGTATGTTTGCTTCAAGCTTTCATCTGTTCTGGGCTCCTGTCTCTTGAAGAACAGGGCTGGATCTAGTCCTCATGTTAGAGTTCTATTCTTCTCTGAAAACCTGAAATTAATGAGTTGGCACTGCCTTTCTTCAGCACCCCCCTCCAGGGATGGAGGAGACCTGGTGCCCAGTCTGTTCTGCCTACATGTAGTCTTGCCTGTTAACCAGGCAGACCTGTTATCCTTCCCTGTAAGGGTTGATGTAGTGTTCCTGTGAGCATCTTGACTGGAGGGAAACCTGGGAAGTTGCTCGTCTTGTGAGGACTTGTGGCTTGTTATAAATGTTGTGGGGACAGGGTGAGGTGAGATGTTCACCCGCAGGGAGTTGAAAATCTTAGGCTTCTCTGCATGTTCATTTTTGCACTGGAAAGAAGGTTTTCTTTCTAACACACGCTTGTCTTTTTCTTTTTGTGAGCCTGCTCCACCCAGTTGGTACATTGCTTGTAAAACCTGATCAATTCTGTCGCTGCAGGTGACGGCACAGGATGTGCGCAAGGAGAGTCCCCTGCTCTTCAAATTCCGAGCCAAGTTCTACCCAGAGGATGTGGCAGAGGAGCTGATCCAGGACATCACGCAGCGTCTCTTCTTCCTCCAAGTGAAGGAGGCAATTCTGAACGATGACATTTATTGCCCTCCAGAGACAGCTGTCCTCCTGGCTTCTTATGCTGTCCAGTCAAAATACGGCGACTTTAACAAAGAGGTGCACAAGGCTGGCTACCTTGCTAATGACAAACTGCTCCCACAGAGGTAAGTGAACCCCTAAAGTGTGTTTGTGTTTTTTTAATCTTGTTTTGTTTTTTTTTTTTTGTCTTGATTGGCCTGTACAGAAGGAAATCCAGCCTTGTATGTTACCATGAACATGGGCATTGATATTCACTTAAGAGCTTTAATCTTAACAATGGTATGGCTACTAAAGAAACTGTAAGTAGTGGGAGAAGCTCTGAAAAATAAAGATATAATGATAGAAGAAACAGATCCGTGGAGTTTGATAAAAGTGTGAATATTTACCTGTTTCCTTGACTAGTTTTGTACTCGGGCCACTTGTGGGAAGGGGTTGTGGGCCAATGGAGTATTCAGTGAAGTTGTTCAAGAGCAACATATCCTGAGCATGTTGGTCTCAAACATCTCATGTGCTCTTCTGATATGCTGCCATTTCCTTTCCAGAGTTCTAGAGCAGCACAAACTCAACAAGGACCAGTGGGAGGAGAGGATCCAAGTGTGGCATGAAGAACATCGAGGAATGATTAGGTAAGGGATGCAGTGTGGCATTGCCAAATGTGAACTAGTGTGAATCTGCTAGTGTGTGACATCAATGTAACATCAATCATAACTTCTCTAGGCTGACTGTTGGCATTCCTCAGGTTATTCTGCTAAAGAAAAATGAGATTCATGCACCTCTATCCTTGCTAGTCTCCATGGACTGACTGCTTGTAATATGGCAAAGCTATACTTGCTGAGCTTGTCCGCTGCTGTCTTCTAGGGGAAGATACTTGGAACTTTTCCAGGTTGTTGCTGCTCTTTGCCTGTAGGGAGGCAGTATCTTCTTGTTCTGGTGACTAAAATGGACTGAGAAAGGAATGTCTGCTTTCTGTTTGTGTATTGCAGGGAAGATGCTGTCTTGGAGTACCTGAAAATTGCACAGGATCTGGAAATGTATGGTGTGAACTACTTCAGCATTAAGAACAAGAAGGGCTCTGAACTATGGCTAGGTGTAGATGCTCTTGGACTCAACATTTATGAGCAGAATGACAGGTAATAAAACTCTTCTTGTCACTGTCTTCAGCTTCTTTCCAATACAAAGGAACATTCAAAGTAATATTTTTAAAAACTGTGCTATCTCTGTGTTGTTCTTCATTTCTTACTCAGAAAGACCTGGTAGTCAATCCACTACTTAAAAAAAAATGATATGAGGTCACACTTTGATTAAAAACATGTTGCTTTTGTTTCACTTGCATAATTGCAAGTCTTCCTGCCATAGATATGTTCCTAAGTTAGTTTTATATTAAGAAGAGGAAAAAAAAAAAAAAAAAGGCAGGTGTTGAGGAACTGCTTCCTATATTTGTAGCTCATGTTTGTGTGTCTCCAATTTTGTTTGTTGATTGCAGTCACTAGTAGTGTCATAATATCATGAGGGCTGGCCTGGCAGAATTCTAGCCGTTGCGATGTGGGTCAAGAATTTGAAATGACTTGAATCTTTTCATTTCTGCAGGCTAACACCGAAAATTGGATTCCCCTGGAGTGAGATCAGAAATATCTCATTTAATGACAAGAAGTTTGTTATCAAGCCTATTGACAAGAAAGCACCAGTAAGAAACAACTTGAAATATATATATATATATATATATATATATATATATATTTAAATGTTGAGCACTTTATTGTTGTTGAATGATCTGGCATTTTACTGTGTGTTTTAGAAGAATATTGTTCAGCCTAAACTTAAGCTATTCAAAACCAGTGGAAGAGAGAGACTCTTGACTTTGGGTTTCTAGTTCTCTTAAGCCTGCTCAGTTCTCTGCTGTTGTGGTGTCAGAGACACTTATGTTGAAAATGAATGCTTCTTATGCAGCCTACTGGATTTAGTAGTATGCAGGAAAATCTTTTGCAGTTTTTTCCTTAAGCATAGTTTTTGTCACCCTATTTGAAGCTGAAGTGTCAGGTAATCTTGTAGGATATGCTAGGAACATTTTTTATTATTCTTTTAAATGAAATAATTCAGCTTGGTCTCATCTTCAAAGTCCATTAATTTTTCTGGATGTTTTCTGATACCTGTTCTTCTTCTGCACTTGTTTTGCTGTTGCTTGGAAAACATTTGCTGTTGCTCCTTGTTAACAGAACAAAGTTATTTATCCATAGGACATGACCTTTAATACCTATTCTGATGTAAGAAAAAACATTACACTTCATGTCACTGACAAGAGTGTTGCATAAAAAAAAAAAAAAAAAAAAAAAAAGAGTGGAATGGTGAGGTGAGACACTTCTGCCCTGTGTGTGCTTATCGGGTTAAAATTCACTCCTGAAAGACAGGTTTCTGATTACCACTTTGGATAAACTAGATGCTAGTGAGAAAAACTGGCTAATAATTCTAGGAAGCTCAGGGTTCTGAGATGCATTGTATTCACATAGGACTGTTTCTGCTGAAGGAGTTAAGTCTTAATGCCACCTTCTCCTTATTCCAAGGACTTTGTATTCTATGCACCTCGGTTACGGATTAACAAGCGAATCCTGGCACTTTGCATGGGGAACCATGAACTCTATATGCGCAGGCGTAAACCAGATACCATTGAGGTGCAGCAGATGAAGGCACAGGCTCGTGAGGAGAAGCATCAGAAACAGATGGAGAGGTTGGTGGCGTTTGCACAACTTGGGCCTGGTTGAGCACTGCACAGTAACATCACGTGATAGCAGAATTGCCAAAAGCACCTTTACTACTAATCTGCTTGAGCCAACGATAGGGCAGATTGCTTCACGCTTCAATAAATCAAACAAGTTGATGGAAATAGCACTTTTATAAGAGGGATCCACTGTCAGGCTCTTAAGTTAAATATATGATCATCTATTTGACAGAACTTATCTGAGGGCAACATTGATGTTATGGGTGCCCACTAACAGCATCGATGCCCCTAGATTTGGCAGGGCTTTTCTCTCTGCATTGGACTTCAAATGATTTCAAATGTATTAAAGCTAGTCAGCTCAGTGCTCTAGTAGCATGCTCAAAACTTCACCAGGAAGTGCCCCACTTTGAGCAGTAGTTAATGCTAAACTGCATTGTGACCTCCCCCCTCATCAGAGCCCTGCTGGAGAATGAGAAGAAGAAGAGGGAGTTGGCAGAAAAGGAGAAGGAGAAGATTGAACGTGAGAAGGAGGAGTTAATGGAGAGACTCAAGCAAATTGAGGAGCAAACCAAGAAAGCTCAGCAAGGTAATATGGTAACACTAGAATATTTTCTAGATGCATGTTCTGAGTGAGAAGACCTACCAAGTAGTAAGGCTAGGAAATCTCTGAACCATTTGAATCTCCACTGCTGTGCTAGGGCCTTGTTTTTGCAGAACTGAGCTGGGCTTCTGAAGGTTAAAGGAAGTTCTCGGTGTGCAGCTGCTGAAGTATGGCTTGCATTGAGGATGATGGGAGGTGGCCAGGCTGAGCCAGGACGTCCTGTATGTGCTGGCTGGGAGCTTTATCCTAGCACCCCTGTGAGAAGTTGGGAAGCATAGTGCCTTTTGCATTGGCCAGCTCTCTGGTCTTTGCTGCCTAATTGCTTGGCCAGCATTATCCTGGCAAAACGCTGTATGCTTCTTTGCCTCTAAAGACACCATTTTGATCTGGATACTTTCGCCCGAATCCTGTTAGGCAAGTAATTTCCTGGTCTTGAACAGGCCTAGCTCCAGCTGTATGTGAAGGAGGAAAAGAGACGATTGAGTGTCTCCTTGGCCTCATCCTGCAAATGGAAGCCTTTATCTGGAAGTTGGGGTGAGGGCATCTTCTGCAGTCATTCTGTACTTGGTCTCTCTTCAAACACACTCTTCTGTCTTCTCAGAACTGGAAGAACAGACTCGCAGGGCAATGGAGCTGGAGCAGGAGAGGAAACGAGCTCAGGAGGAAGCAGAGAAACTGGCTAAAGAACGTCGAGAAGCAGAAGAGGCAAAGGAGGCCCTCCTGAAAGCATCCCATGATCAGCAAAAGACCCAGGAACAACTGGTGAGTGAACTGAAAATCTGGTAGGGAAGAGGAGGGTGGCAGTTCTCAGAGCACTATGAATATGGTGGAAGGCATACTTTTTTATTTTTAAACCTCAGCCAGATGAGCTTGTGCCTAGATGCAGATATATTTGTACATTAGATATAAAATTATATAGATTAATATATTTATATCTACAAATATATATCTATATGTAGATATAAGTATATCTATATATATTTGTACAGTATATCTATCTTACGGTGCACTTTGCGTGCACTTGTAGGCAATGTTGAGGGCAATGTGGAGCTCACAAATTGCTTTCCTCAGCTTGAGTTCAAAGAAACAGGATCTGTAGCTCTGGAGAAAAAAAAAAAAAACCACCTTTTTTAGCTTCCTATTTCCTTACATTACAGAGATATCAATGGGACTGAAGAATACAAAAAGGTTTTCTCCTTATTGAAAGAATATTAAAGATACTAATTTTATTTGGGACTTGGATTACACATGTTATTTAGCAGCAATTTGGGTTTTGTTCCTCCTAAAAGCCTTTCTTTTGCAGGCTGCTGAGATGGCAGAACTCACAGCAAGGATCACGCAGCTGGAGCTGGCCAGGCAGAAGAAGGAGAGTGAGGCCCAGGAGTGGCAACAGAAGGTAAAGCAGCAACAACATTTTTCCTGGAGTTACTCTTCATTTTTTTGTGTGTGACCTGCCACACTATTCCCATATTTTGCCGCATTTGCAAATGAACAGTATTGTTGTTCTTCATTGTACTGTGAAATGAGTGTCCTATTCTAGTTCCAAATAAATAGCCTTATTAATATGACTAATATTCCATGAATTGTAATGGTTCTTCAAGCCTCTGAAATGAAAGCTAGCAGAAGGTTTTGCAGGTGATTGGTATCACTTCACTGTGCAGTAGCTGCAGCACTTGTTACTTGCACCAGGTAGTGCTCCTGCATGCTCCTTTTGGGCAAAAGTCTCTTGCACTGTGAAGAAGCCTGCCTTGTATTCAGGACTATATTGTCTAAGCCATGTGGCTGTCTTATTGCAGGCACAGATGGTGCAGGAAGACCTTGAAAAGACCAAAGAGGAGTTGAAGACTGCTATGAGCACTCCCCACGTCACTGAGCCCATGCACTCTGAGAATGAGCATGATGATGAGCAGGATGAGAATGCTGCAGAAGCCAGTGCAGAGCTGCGGTCAGAGGCCACTATCAAGGACCGCAGTGAGGAGGAGCGCACCACTGAGGCAGAGAAGAACGAACGAGTCCAGAAACACTTGAAGGTAAAAAGATAGCAGTAGAGAGAGCCTGTGTGTCTGGGGGTTGCCTCTATTCTTGCCACATAATGCAGCTGGTAGGTATCGTTGTTTAGAAAGAGAGGAATCCTGATCTTGCCGATTAGTTTAGTAACCACAGAAGTGTGTGGCAGATCTTGTCTCCTGACACTTGATTTCATGGGTAATAGTGAAGCATTTCCGAGTGGTGCCAAGAAACAGCATCTGTCATATGCAGCATACTCTTGTGAGTCATGCCAGCTCTCTGACAGCTGCTCGAAGCCTTGACTGCAGCGAATTGTAGGACTTGGTCCAGTTTCTATCAAGCAGCTGTCAGTAACTCTCTGACTAGTTTGTACTGTTAAACCCTGAGAGCAGCCCACTAGCACCCAGCATGGGGTGGGTGGGCAATGCTGCCCCTCCTTGCTGCAAGGATCAGTGGTATACTGCTGTTGATTCTTCCCACTCACTTCGTTGTACTTTGTACTGACTGCAGTAGGGTCTGCTTGTTCTGCCTCATGCTGGGGTGGCTTTGCACAGGCAGATTGACAGAAGTGTTTTTGTCTACTGCAGCTGTAGGCTAGTAATTCCTACTTTGGCAGGACATTCCTAATGTCCTTAGAGATCCCTCCACCAGGCTTTTCCACTGTCCATCTGGAATAGACTGATGACTGTTCTTTGTCTTGTTCCAGACAAAGATCAGCAGGACAAAGATATTTGATGCTTTATACCTTCAGATATTAGGGAAAGACAGTAACTTATTCAGGTGGAGTTTCCTCTTTCTGTGGGTACTGAACCTTTAGGAGAGCTGAATGAAGAAGCCTCTTCCTGAGAGGAGGGCATATGCTAATCCCTTCCTGTCTGTTTCCCATCCCCAAAGGCTCTTTCCTCGGAGCTGGCAAATGCTCGAGATGAAACCAAGAAGACAGCCAATGACATGATCCATGCTGAGAACATGCGACTGGGCCGAGACAAGTACAAGACCCTCCGCCAGATTCGGCAGGGCAACACCAAGCAGCGCATTGATGAGTTTGAGTCCATGTAAACTCTCCCCTGCACTGGCCGCCCTGCACTCTTCTCCCCGTTCTCCCTTCTTCACCCATCACTCGCTCATAATCGTGCTGTGCTGGAACCACTACAGAAGAGTGACCATGGTCTTATTTATAGAGTTTTGGGCAAGTGCTGCAATTCAGCAACAGAGGAAAACCAACTGCATCTTCCTGGGGGTGGCTGGGGAAAGCAAACTTGTGTTCTTTGGGGGGAAAATTTGAAATTGCTTGGCTTTGGGTGAAGTCTCACTGCATTTAGTATTGTATCGCTTGTTGAAGTAGCTGCCTTGCTATTTTCTGCCACTGGGTAAAGAGGCCACCAGTTACTTTGACTGATTAACTTGGAGTAAACTGCTACAGTTTGACACCGTGCCTTCCTACTAACTTGTGCAAAGTTCAATATTAAGCTTAATGGCCAGAGTCTGTATTTCTGCCTTCGTATAAAGTCTGACTCATGTAGTTGAGAAGGGGAAGCAGGAGATAAGGAGTAAGAGTTGGTGATATAATACAGACTTTCTTCTAAAAGACCAAAGCTTTTGACCTTAAAACTTAAGCGGGCGAAATAGCTCAACAGTGGTGTTAATAATGTCTTTTATGACACCTGATGGTATTAGCTGTTCTTTTTTTAAATGATGAAATTTTGAGTTTCCTAATCATGTGGAGACCTTTGGAATATTTCCACTAAAGTGTGTTTTGGACCATCAACTTCCTGTTTTCCAGAAGAAGTGTTTTCCTCTGGGTAAATTGCTTTGTTTACTGTTACTTGTCTGACTTGAATGTAACCAGTGAAGCAGAAGTAGCTAAAGAACATTGCCTTCCATTTTGGGGTCACCAGTGGAAACCTAGAGGGATAGGCAGAAATGCAAAGAACTAAAACTTGCTGCAGTTGTGTTTTCCCCTCTGGTTGTGGAATGAGATTTCAGGTGTCCAGAAGAGGCCTTGTTAACACGTAGTCATCTGTGCCTTATGACTGTGTATAGATCTACTATGGGTCAGTTGTCTTCACTTAAGCTAGCTATAATTATAAAAAGTAATGAGAAGCTGGGGACCAAAAATTACTTTTGTGCTTGGGTGATGTACAAGTCTGAATCTGTCTTCCCAGCTTCCTAGCATCAGAGGGGAATGGACCACACCCTCACTAGCATTCTGCAAAGTCACTAGCGTCCTGCTAGGCTCCTTCACAGATAAATAAATCCCAGTGACTTGTCCTGAGAACAGGCTGTGACACTTACCAGTGCCCTTGACACCCTGTCTTCCAAGCTTTCCATTCCTGTCTGTGCTGTAGCTGCTCAGACTCCTTTCCTCCATTTCTGGGGAAGGAACAGCCATATATTCTCAGGGGTGAATGGATTTTTGCCTTGATCCTTCATAGAAGGAAATCTCCAACTTTACGAGAGGCTTCTTACAAAGGGAGTCAGTCCATCTCAAATGGAGTTCTCCTTTGCTTGCTTTGGATTAGCCTGTCTCTACAGGAAATCATCAAGTTAGCATATAACATAATTTCTTGCCTAGCATCATCTTAAATCTTTAAAACATTCTTGGTTTTGTGGATGCCTCTCTTGTGTCTCCACCCTATGGAAAAGGTAAAGGACAGTGTGCCAAAAAGAAATGTTCATGTCAGTGTTAATAAACTGCAGTATTTCCTCAATAATTCCTTGGGCTGGTATCAGTGACCTCACCAGTGCTTTTTTTTTTCTCTCTCTCTCTCTCTCTCTCTCTTTTGAATCAGTACAAGTCTCTGTGGAGATGCCAACCAACTAAAACCTCTTTCTGGTGGGAGCATCGCTCTATGCTCCTACTATGCATCCATCAGAGTCACTTGGGAGCCCCCTACTCTGCCCTGGACGCAGCGTGTCTTTGGCGAGGGGACGCGGGAAGCATTTGGCCAAAAACACATGCCTCAGTGCTTCGAATGTCACCAGTGAAAGACTGCAGTTATGTGTGTCAGAACTGATTTGCATATTTCTTTACTGAAGGGTTTTTGGCACTGGCTCTACATGAGTCTCATTATTGGGGAACAAACAACCATTGCACTTCTGTTCTGGTGCTTTAAAGCTGGTTCTCAGCACTTCCGCTCTGTCCATGACAACTACTGGTGCATCTAGGGGCAAAAAGGCCCTTACTGCATTTTAACAATTTCCTAATGAGAAGATAAACGGTGCCTGGAATACATGTTCAAATAATAAACCAGAAAACCTCTTTCTGTTTTGATGGGTCACATAATACTGCTGAACTTGTGTATTGCAATGCTGGCCTGACTTCTGATTATAGGGTGTGGGGTGTGTTGTTGGTTTTTTTTATTTTTTTTTTTTATTTTTTTTTATTTTATTTTATTTTTTTTATTTTGTTCTGATTCCGAATGGTCCAATGCAGGAATAGAACGGCTTGTGCCAGTGAGTCCACCTAACTCCTTGTGTAGTTGTTTCAGCCCTGCCCCCTTCTTAACCAGTATTATATTAAAAGTGGTATCTAATGATATTTGATTTCAATACTTCTAGCTATGCACAATTAGAAAATATTAGTCATGGGAGAGAGGATATTTTTATGTCTCCCATCCTTTGGAAATGTATACTGTATTGTAAAGAGATGATATTTTGCAAAAAAAAAAAAATAATGTAAGAAGCTTTCAGTATTACAGTGAGATTTCTAGATATGTTTTTTTATTTTTTAGAATATAGTGAATTTTTCTTCCTGTCCCTGTTCCAGATTAATTGGATAAATACTCCTCTTAGGCTTGGGGGGAGGGAATTACTTTATGAATTGTTTGCCTAGCTTGTGATATTGGGTTTGTTTTTTTTTTTTTTTTTTTTGTAACTGTAAGTTATGTTGAGGGCTTTTTTTTTAATCTAGTTTTTATTAGAAAATTAATTCCTTGGCGAGTAGTATATGGGTCCATCATGTGGTTATCTGCAAAGAGCCTTGATATTGTGGGGTGTTTTTTTCCTTATTTTCTATATTTAGAGGAGTTGTTAAAATCCATACCTTGTTCTTCCTACAGTGCCAATAAAGTTTAGAGAAAATCAACAAAATGTCTGGATGATTGCTTGTGGCTTTCCTCAAGTCTGGTGCCAGATTTCCAGATGAGCTGTGTTTCCAGATGGACTGTCCGGCCAGCCAGGAGGCTGCATTCGCTTCTAAAGAACCCAAGCTGTGACTTGAGCAACATCTTCACTTACTATGCTCACTAGGACTTGTAAGGAAGAGCTGAAGTAACTCTAGAGTTGCATGTCTTTGAGATAGAACTGCCTGGTGGGCTGACAGTCTTAGCACAGGACTCTCCATCTCCTGCACTGGGAGGGGAGCCCAGGCATTTTCTTCAGGAACCTGGTATTAGCTTCTCGGTGGCAGATAAGCCAGATCTAGTCTTCTGGCCACTTCCTTTTGGTACACTGAACAATCATAAGATGTAAACATCCATCCACGCCAAGCTTATTAGTTCAGGTCAACTCCTGTGGATACTATCAATAGCAGTCATAACTTGGAAAAGTAATCTAGATTGAGCTTTGCTCTCACCTTGTAAGAACCTGTTAGTTTTTAACAGCACTATCCTCTTGAAGTCTTTCTTGGGCTGGAGAGAACAGAGTAATTTGTGACATCAAAAGAGCTTTGGCTCCCCGTTTCTCCTATTAACTGTTCCAGAGAGCTGTTGCTTGTACCCTTCTCTGGCTTCAGCAGGAGGCTTAAGTTCAGTCTCCAGAGTCTTGGACTACAGGGGCTCTGCTGTTGAGTGTCTGCCTCTGTTGTTTTCAGACATCTTGCAAAGACAGGTAAGGGCATATACAAGTAAGGTATTTTGATCACAGATTGTTGCATGGCAGCTGCTTGATCACCAACAAAGGCAGAATATCCCCCAGAGGAAAAATGAGGAATAACCACAATGCAGCTTGTTTGCCCTGTATGATCAGTGTCCCTGCTCTCTTGAGCGCTGCCTTCTCTGCAGGCACAAGGATCAAGTTATGTGCAGCTGTCCAGACACCATATGCCAGCGCATAACTAGAGCACTTGATGATGGCCACGTATCAGTGTAGCTCATCCGTGCTGGGCCTCAACCCAGAGGTGCTGTGAGCCCTTGGTGTCAGCTTGCACATGTGACATCTGTTGATGTTTTCTCCCTTGCAGGAAACCCAGTTGTTTGCAAGAAGAAGAAATTTGGGCTCAGACATCTACTGTTAAAGAGAGTCTGGCTTCAGCCTTGCAGGTAGCTGCAGCTCTTGTGTTAATACATTCTGGATGAGAACAAGTCCATAGTACAGAATTAAGTTCTAAATGAACATTAATGGCAAGTGATGGGTTAAGTTGAGTAGTTGAGTAGTTTTAAGAGGAACTCTCAGAATAGAGGGCAGGATGACAGGAAGAGGAAAAAAGAAGAAAATAGAATCTGTCAAGGAAAAAACAGCAGTGAGACTGGAAAAATAAGAGACATATTGGAAGCTTCTGGAGGTGATTAAAAGTGCACTTGCTGTGGTGCTCTTTTAAGACCTTCGGGTACGTCAGGACAGCTTTCTGCTGAGCAGAGCTTGTTGGAAAATTACAAGTATATTGTCTCCAAGTGTGATCTTTTAAAGAAGCACAAGCCAGGGTTGCTTTTCCATCAGGCCTGAGGGAGAGTCAAGGGGATGTGGAATATGCCAGTCTTGAGCTGGGAGGCTGCAGTGGAGGCTGGGTGTACCCCACAGGCAATGGTAATGCCTCCCATCCATCTTCAAAGCATCCTTCACTGACTGACTGAAGGAGAATATCAGCTGTTGTGCGTGAAGGATGAGGTAAGGGCACTGTAAGTCCATGGTGGCCTTCACCCAGGCAGGCAGCAGCTCCATCAGCAGGTGCTGCCAGAATGAATTCCTTTGTTCTGTTGCTGTGGGGCAGACTTGTCTCTGATGGTGGCTTACTGCCCTCTTGTTTTTAGTGCTGAACACCCGGTCCTTTTGCCTACAGGCAGTCTCGTAGGGAGCTGCTAAATCTATAGAGAAAGGTTGGAGCAAGCAAATAGCAGTCCTGCCTGACATGAAGGAATTGAGGCACAACATCTCAACCCTTCTCTACAGAGCTGTGATCAGTCAGGTTTAAACCTGGAGCAGGCATGGTGTGCCCTCCTTGGCTACTAGTTCAGGCTCGGCATGCCCTTTTGGGCAGCCCCTTGCTTGTCCTTGCAGGCTAGGGCAGCAGTAACTGGAGGCCTGGACTGCATCAGTTTGGCTTTCTTTGGTACAGGGATCCTATCTGCTTCTCTAGCAACCTGTCCTCTAGCAAGAAAGCATGGATCCTGAGGGAATGAAAAAGATGGGATTTTGCTCAGTGACTTCAATTTTGTGTGTTTAAGCAACCTCTGTCTCCTCGTAGTGATGCTTGCACTGGGCTTGGGAGGAGGCCAGAGACCAACTATCCCTGCCATTAAGAAGGAGGCTGGGGTCTGGCATCTTGGTTATGCCTGGGTCAGTCTGCTACTCTGAAGCTCCTGAGATTTCAGCTTGCACACAGCGCAGTCTTGTCTGGGGACCTCTTGGTGGTGGCGAAGCTCATGAAGCTCTGCTTGACTGGCAAAAGCAATATTTAGTCTCAGGTACATGTTTTACCTACTGTCTCTCGTTGTTGGAGGCCAACCAGGAAGCCTTTTCTCTCTCATGCCCTGACCACCTGCCCTTGTACTGACCAAGGCAGAGCGTGGCAGCCCTGCTTGTTCCAGGTGGTGACAGACCTGTCCCTGTGCTGGGGGGCAGAGCTGGCTACCTGCTGTGTCACAGCTGGCGGGAGTTGCTGCTTGCTCAGTGCCCTCTCTCTCCACCTTTGGAGTCCTACCGTTGAGCATGTGGGGTTTTACGAAGAGACGATTCGGGTGTCAGTGGAGTGATATTCTCAAACTCAGAACCATGCTATTGCTAAAGCTATGTTGATGTGTATATTAATAACTGCATACTTTAACCAGGGTTTCCATATGCCTTCAGAGAGGCAGTAATTTTGAACCCTTCCCTCAGGGCGTTCTGGAAACCTCGTGTTCGCAGAAGGGCTCCTCTGCCTGGCTTTGCTTGGGCCACATGCCCTGCACCCGGAGCCACTGAGGCACGGCTGTGTGGGCCGAGCGTGCCTGCGCTGCCCGAACATGCCCATAGAAGGACTGAACTGCACCGTGGAGCTGAGCCTGGTATCCAGGAAGTCTACGTGTGCTTCCGGCCCCGAGGGCTGCAGCGCCGCTGAGTAATTCCCGGTTGGCTCAGGGAGCACTGAGGTCAATTTGAGCGCTGCTTGTGCAGATTGCAGGCATGGCTGGAGCTGACGGCACCTCACAGCCAGTGGAGACTGCTGGGGTGTGAGCCCCCAGGCTACGTAAGGAGGGGGAGATCGTCCCTTCTAGCGCATAGCAGATTGGGCACGGTGTCTTGGGCTAGAAAACCACTTCCTTCCAGCCTGAGCTGAGACGTTGCAGCTGCTGCGCGGGGGGCAGGAGGTGCCTGCGGGGCGTGTGTGTTCCCCCGGGAACAGCAGGCTCTTGCCAAGGCTCCATGAAGCGGCGCTTGGGATTCACACCCACTGCGCTCGTCTTGCCCTTAAAGCATGTGCTGATCTCCCAAGCAGCACTTACCGGGCTTGTCAAGGCATGAGGGTTTCTGCTTGGTTGGTTTGAGGGTTATTTTTGGCTTTCTGTTTGTGCCCTGGGCTAAACGAATAAGGGCTTGCTTGGGAAAGGTGGCTTTTTGCTTGCGGACTGGCTGCCAGGCAGGGAGGAGGAGCCCAAGACCTTGCCTTGCTCCTCGACTCCCTGTCTCAAAGAACCTTAAACAGGCTCTCAGCACCCAGCACGAGACCCTCTTCACCCCCAGCCTGGGAGCTGCTCCAGATAGGTGTCCCCTTTGCATGGTAGCTCCCCTCAGCGCTGGGCACGATGATCCTGGCCCCAGTGTTCCCTGCAACATTGGCTCCTCTCCTACGTAGTGGCATTGACCTGTCCCCACCACGCTCTGCACTCCAGGCAGGGCACAGGGTCAGTGCCAGCAAACACGTGTGTCCTTGCCATGAGAACTGCTGCGCATATATCAGGCATATCTCTGAGCTCAAGGTTTGTGGGAGAGATAAGGCGCCTGGTAGTTTGTTTGGATGTGCTCCAGCCCCTATCCTGGAGTCTGTCATTGCAAGCCCAGCTCTCCTTCCTTGTAAATATCTGGGAAAGAGAACAGGGACCTCTGTCCTTCCTTGGCAGTGTCTGGGCATGAGGGAAGGATGGACAGCGGCTCTTGGCTGCTTGAAGCAATTTTAAATCCAGGGCCCAAGAGTTTGGGCTTGAGGCTGCAGTGTTTGGGGCAGCCTGTGGGTGAGAGCAAACCTTCAGGGACAGTGCGTCCGAGAGCAGAGACGGTGCCTGGCGCTGCTGTTGGAGGAACTGTCCACTTGCCACTGCCCGCTCTGCCTCTCTTGTGAGCGGGGGATCCACAGGGATCATTCAAAAGCTGGGCTGCAAATGGTGAGAAATAGGCAATTTTTACATTGTTTTGGCTAGTGTGTTGAATTCCTGGGAAATCCCAGTGATTAACCATTTCAGCAGTGTGTTTGGAAGCTTGAACATCTCCCTTGAAAACTTTCTTGGGGTGAAAACTGGGATTCTTTCCCCTTACCTCTCTCAAAACCTTTTTTTAATGGAAAATCCTTGCTTTCCTACTGTCTTTGATGTTTTCCTCAGACAGTTTAAACATCTTCTCCCAACCAGAAAGCTCTGGGTAGGAAATCTTTCAGAGTGAGAAGTAAAAACTTCCCAGCTATGTCCAAAACTGCGAGTTCAGCAGGAGTGTGTGTGTGCGCGAATGTGTGCGTGCGCATGCAGAGAGTGGATGGTTTTTGAGTCTGGCTTCCCTCCTTTCACAGAGCAAATTGAAACAACAGCTCCAGGATCACAGCTTGCATGGTCTGTCAGTGCTGGCTCTGCCCCACAGCTCTTCTTGCAGAAGGCAGCTTGATTAAAGCAAGATCCCACCAAACCATCACACTGCTAATTTGTTAATTGAGACAGTCTGGTCTCCTGACATGCACCAGCCCAAATTCCACAAAAAAAAAAAAAAAAAAAAGAAGCCTCCTGGGTCAGGAGCAGATTGATTCGCTTTTCAGAGGAGAAGAGACTAAATTAATACCACAGCTTTTGGGACTGAACTAAGGAACTTTCCTCTCTGGAAGTCTCACTAATACTGATATTAATTAACGTGAAATAAATCACACATATATTATGCCTCTGTTCCATTTTCAGGAGACAATGTAATCAATAAACAAATGTGGCTTGTTCTCTCTGCCATTCTTCAAAGTAAGGTTCTCGTTTTACAGCAAGGATCTGCAGCAGGGGATGGGGCTGGAAAACTTCCACATCAAGAGCACAGCCCAGGCACCCTAGTCCTGCCACACTGCTTCAGGTGCTGCTGTGTCCCAGCCCTCGCTGCACAGGGCACATCCCACACTGAGTTTGCATCCCCTGTGTAATTAGACATTGCAATGAATATTGATCCTGAATCTGGCTTTAGGTTGAGCTTGGTCTATATTCTGGAGGGGAATGCAGAAGGATCAAGTAAGGTGAGTCCTGCTAGGGACAGGCTGGTGGTGCTCCTGACCAAGCATCACCCAGCTCATGTGGCCCAACATCGCCTGGTGGGCCCCAGCACCGTCCCTCCCTCCTCCGCCCCCGGAGGCTGGCCTTCAGCTTCCCCCTCGGCTGCGCCTATAACTGTCTCTGGATGGCCTTGCAAAGACAGCCTGGGACACGTGCAGCAAGACTCAGCGGGCATGATAGCGCAGGGTGTCTCGGGGCTCCTGCGATCCTTGCTCAATGGGCTGAGCGCGACCAAATCTCACCTCATCTATCCACACAGGGCGGCTGGGCGACATTGCAAGCTGACCACACAGGTGCCAGGAAGAGACCTCAGCACCACAAAAACGCTCCAGGAGGCCCCTGGGGAGCCAAGGTGGGTTCAGAGCTGGACTGGGGCTCATCACACCTGCAGTGTCCCGGGCCCTGTGTGGGGCTCTGGTGCGATGCTTGCTGGGATGGGATACGCAGCTGGCTGTGCTGGGAGCAGCTCTGCCATGGGCTCGGCGTACGGGCTGGCACCACGTCCACGGCCTTTGGCTTTCCTCAGGGTGGGAAGGTCCCTCTCCTCTTTCACCATGGATGGTTCCTGTAATTCCCTGAGTTTCTTCATTACCCTTCATATGTTTCTGCTGTTATATTCTGCTGCAAGGGTTTGGGCTGTTTGCCAGTGTGAGATAAGCCCCATACCTCACCTCCTCACTCCAGGTCACTGGTGGCTACTGAAACATGTGGCTCTGGTGTGAGTGTGTCAGCAAGCTGCTCACACTGGCTGCCCCGAGCACTCCTGCCCTCCAGCAGACAGGGTGATGGGCAGGGGCTTTGCTCTAACTGTGGGGACGTGCATTAATAGTCAGCACTGCTGCTCAGGGGTGGTATAAAGGGTCCGACAGAACTTCTTCACGTACCTCTTTCTCTGAATGTGGGGAGAGCTAGATGCTGCAACAGTGTCATCCCTAGGGACCTGCCCAGAAACACTGCAGAGGTGAGTGGGAGAGTGGGGATGTTGCTGCAGTACCTGCAGGAAAGGAGGAGACTGCAGACACCGCGGCTGCTTGTTTGTATTTGTGCAGCAGCAACTGCAGGAACCACAAGCTTTCCCTGCTAGTCTCTGATCCTTAAGGGTTATTTGAAAGGATACTGCATTTCCCTGGGCAAAGTAAAGAGAATCTGTAAGCTCTCCCAAGTGTGATCTGGGTCAGACTGTAGTCTGTTAGCAGAGATTACAGTAGATGAACAGAAGAGTCCAGCCAACATCTCAGAAAACACAATAGACTATTCTGCTATCTGACCTTAGAGAAAAGTTATACAGATAAGCCTGCTTGATGGGATTTATGAGCAGTTGTTATCAACTGGCTTTCTCTCTTAATAGGTTTGTTGCTGATGACGTTATCTCCAGCAGTACTTGCAGGCACCTCACTGTTTTGTATGTCCTTGGGAAACATTTTTTAGAGAAAAAACATTGAAACAGAGAAAAATAACCTTCCAGAGATCTCCCTTGCCAACACTAATGGTCTGTGTCACACAAAGATTGGGATGTTTGGAAGAAGCTAAAATGTTAGTGTACATCGAATGTGTTACTGAGCTTCTCATGGGGAGTCACCCAACAGTGTCAAGAAACCTGCCAATTTGCCAGGAATAAATGGGTCTGATCCATCAAGATAGAGACGTGTTTTATTTTCTTTTTTGAACGCTAACCTTTAAATTGAATTCCTTACTTGCAGAGAAGTGCTTGTGGGTCTCACTATGAGGGAACCTGAAGTGTCCTGGAAGATGCTCTTTGGCCAAGTGTGCTTTGTAAAATAGTGTGCTCCTCCTGGCCCTCTGCAAGGGTGGTGTGCACTTGCAGGTTGTGTGCGGATTTTCCATTATCCAGAAATCAGTAGAAATCACCATGTTCTTCATTTTCATGTGCTACAGCAGAGAGGGGTGAGCAAATAAGAAAAGGCCTTTCAGCTGCTGCTTGTGCTGCCCCAGGGACAGTTCACACTTAGGCAATTCCTCCTCTCTGGCTCTCTGACTTCCCAAGAGAATGTCTGGCATGGAGAAGGAAAAGCCCCATCAGTAGGCACCGCTCCTCTGACAAGTGGGGAAAAGTCAGAGGGTTTGCTGCAACCTGTGGCTCTGGCTGTGACAGTCTATTCAGAAAGCACATTGCAAATACTTGAGATTAGAAAATCTCAGACTCTTTGAGCCATTCCTGCTGTGTGTTTCTCTGGACCCAGGAACATGTTGTTAGCAGACTTTATGCCCAGCTGAAGAATGCTTTCATTATAGGAAGAGGGAGGCTGCTCACTCAGCCTTGTGCAAGTGGGAAGAGAGGGGACGATGAACTTGGCCAGTTCTTTCTGTGAAACGTTCTCTTTTCAAGGCTGTGAATCTTTCTTCTTATGCCAGAAAAATGGCAGTAGCAAGGCCGTGAAGCAGCACCGATGCTTCCAGTGCTCAGGGCTGTGAGACAGGGATTGCTCTTTCTAGAGGACAAGCTGTCTGCACTCCAGGGTTTACAAGAAAGAATGGACTTAGCCTCCACAACTAGGAGAAAGTCCTGGGCTTTGAAAGAGTGGACAAACGGGCAGTGGCATGTGGAGAGGTAGTGGGCAAAATACTTTCTGCATTCAGGATGCTTTACTGTGTCAACACTGTTGGGATGGTATGGGACCAGCTGCTACCTAGTAACCCATTGAGTATGTATACTAAGGGACATCATTCTTTAGCTGTTTAGTGTTTCCCACAGCAAATAAATAGAAGGGTCTATATACCTCCTTAGTGAGAAATGCCTGACATGGTGCTCTTCAGGATGGGAACCTTGTCCATGTTGGTGGAGAGGGTCTGGTCTGGAGGAGTTGAAGTATGCTTTGTATCCTTGATTTTGTAGATATGGTTTCTGCAGGGCAGAACTAAGAGATGCTCATGGCTTTGTTATGAAGTTCATCACAAGATTAAATCCCTCGGGCTATCAATATAATCAGCAATTTTTTTTGAGCAAGAGTTGTGCAGTCTTGGAAGAGTTAATTCACAGGTATTTCCCTACAAGCTAGGACTGAGCAAGGCTCCTAGGAACTGAGGATAGGGAAGGTATGAACACCTTATGATGGAGCAGAAAATGAGCCATCAGCAAACAATCCCCTTGGGAATGGAGGAGGACACAAAAAGGTGAATGACAAAAGCCTGCCTGTAAACACTCAAGTCATCAGTCAGCACAAGCAGAGGGAGCAGGTACAGAGCATCTGCACTTGCCCACTCACAGCGAAACACTGATTCCAATAAAAGTTTCATAAAGAGAGAAATGTTTTAGGTCAGTTAAGACTGGAAGAGCACTAGTTTGCCTGTCTCCTTTGAAACCTAATGCCTTGGAAACTTGTCTTGCAGCTCTGCAGAGCAGGTAACTGTGCATTTTATAAACCGAGATGGAGAGAAACTCACTGCCACAGCCAAAGAAGGGGAAACCTTGCTGCAAGTGGTTGTCAACCAAAATTTGGGCATTGACGGATTTGGTAGGTGTGACATGAGGGTAGGTGGTCTTCGGGGTTAAGCAGGTACCTGAGAACACTGCGGGTGGACACACACTGCTGTGTTTTGATGACCATGGAGAGGATGCAAACACTTTATTTGCTGATCTGGTTGTCAACACTTTTGCTTATTGATCAACTTTCTTTGACTTGCTGAACTTGTAGCCCTTAGCAGATGTACTTGCTGGCAGGCTTCACTTCCCTAACAAATCCTTGCTAAGCTGGCTAATCTCACTGGCCTGGCAGTGTGACTGCCACTCTCTCACTGCCAGAGTACAGTGGCCTGTGTCAGTACTTATATTTGGTCAGAGATGAAGTACTAAATTGTAAGGTGGTTGGAATCCTCATCAAGAATAAGCAGGCTGAAGTCTGTGCCTATCTATTGTGTCTTCTTTGGAATTTCTTTTGATATACTATATACATCAGATGAGCTATTTGCCCACTGTTCCAAATATTTCTCACCTTCTTGTTTTCTCACACGTGTGGTTACCCACCTACTTCTCCTCCAGGTGCATGTGAAGGGACATTAGCCTGCTCCACCTGTCACCTGATTTTTGAAAAGGACATCTTCCAAAAGCTGGATGCCATCTCAGATGAAGAGATGGACATGCTGGACTTGGCTTACGGACTCACTGAGAGGTAAGCTCTCCTGTTGATTGTTTTAGACACTCAAAGTCTCTGAGATAGATTTAGGAGAGAACAAGAGTTATTGAGTTATTCTGTATTATAATAATTATATAATATATTATTATAATTATATAATATTATACATCATTGTAGACAATTATAATTTTAAGTTAGAACTACTTGGTTTTGGGACATAAGCTCTTACCTTTAATAGAAATGCTAAAGAAAATCTAGTCTGGAGCAGACATTGCCCGAGGGGGTAAGGTATTTTTGTCTCTTCTGTGGGAATGGCAAAACTAAACCTCCCTTAATGACGTTTCCTTCTCAGATCTCGCCTTGGCTGCCAGGTGTGCGTTAAGAAGTGGATGGATGGTCTAACAGTGCAGGTTCCCATGGAGGTGTCTGACATTAGGAAGGAGCTGGAAGTTGGGAATCAAAACAAACAGTAATCAAAAACCAATCCTGTACAATCCATTCCCTTGTTTTTGGTGTGGTGGTGGCACTTTGCTTTGGTGCCTTGCTTGCAGTAGACAACAGGGGTCTGTTTCAGCATGTATGACTGCTCAGCAAATCTCTTATTTAAACAAAGCTTAATATTAGGGTCTACAGTACATGCTTTAAGTCCTTAAGTGATCTGTGGAACGCAATTGGACTAAAGGGATATGGCTTTACATTTTCCTGGATGGGTGACAGCAAACATCTGTGCTATGTGTGATTTACTCTTTCTTTAAAATTAAGTATGTACTATTCTGAGTAATTACTGGTAATTTTGCTGGGCTTGGCTATTTAACCGCTGAGAGCTTTTTTCCCTCTTCAAGATATGAGAAGAGGCGGTTGTCCCAAATACGTGGCTGTGTATCAGCACTGGATTTCTGACAGAGCATCCATGTGAGCATTTTGTTCAGAAAGGGAACCACTTCAGCATTTTGTTCGGAAAGGGAACCACTTTCTATCAATGTGAGATATTATATGTCACTAGATTAGGTACCATGATTTGCCACTTTCTTCAAATCTCAAATGTTCCCATTTCTGTAGTATCATATATGTCAAATAAAATTCTAATAATTGGTTTTAGACCAATGGGATGCACTTTTTTGACAACATAGTTACAATAGCTGGAGTGTGATGCATTTTTAGGTGCAATACTCTGTTGCTCTAGTTTACCTGACTCATTATTTTTACCCTGTGTTAAATGGCTATTTCGAAATTTTTATCTGAGTCACATAGAGAACTCATGGTATGTTGCCAAATTTTCCAAACTCAATCCTGCATAGAAATCTTTCAGTAGATCCTTTCTAGATCTTTGGCCCACGCTTGGGGTGGGGATACCCCGAAAGACTGCAGGCCTAGGTGAAGCAACACATTTTTTTTTTACATTTTTAACATTGATACATTAAATAGATGGCATTTAAAAGGTTCACTGAGTCCCTAAGCATCCTGGTACCAAATGGAATGGGCTTTTTACAAATCAGGATCCATGTGGGAGCTCTGCCCAGTTTTTCCCCAGTACCCCCTGGATTTGGAAACTGGGTGTTCTGAACTTGAAGCTGGGACCCACCCAATCCAAAGCTAGAACATGATGGTCTCCAGGCTTACAGATCTTGAGTCATAAAATAACATCACTGCTGAGCTTTGCATTGCAGACACTGCTGTATTTCACCTGAACACCACAGCTGAAGGGCAGCAACTCTTGAGGGCTTTGGTCTGACACAAGATGGAGCTCTTTGCGCATCAGCAGCAACTAGAGCACCAAGCGTGCAGAGAAGGGAGCAGAACCTGAGCTTTCCTTGGAGGATAAATGATTTGTTCTTCTTCTGTCTAACATACCCCAGCTTTACTATAATAAAGCAAAAAGAATAAAATGAAGATTAGAGATTTGCAGTAGGCTGCAGAAGGGGTGAATAAGAGCAGTAAATCCACCAGTTCCAGTGCTTCTTCCTGTATCATCTCCTGAGTTCTCATTCTGCCAAATCCATTTGCAAAGCACTTGGCAGTCTCAGCCCTCTCCTGCTCCTGAGGTCCAAGCTAGACCAGAGGCTGATGCTGAAAGATGTCAGTTCGCTGTAGGCATGCATCCCTGGTGGCATGGCAAGAGGGAGTGACAGCTGTGGCTGAAGAGCTCATGCGACGGCATGTGCCTCCCCAGAGCTTGTCTACATTCAACAAAGTGAGCTCTTGGGGTGAGCTCTTTCATTTGCTGCCCAGCTCTCCATGGCAAGTGGCAAGTCTGTCCCACTAGGTGACATAAGGTACCAGAGAAGGCTGCACAAAAACTGCTGCTTTCAGGAGGGTGGAGCAGCTTGGGATGGGATCCTTTCTGAGGATATCATATCTTTCCAGGCTCTGTTGGGCAGTCAGAAATTGAATTGGAGCAGTAGCAGCAAGTAACTATTACTGCTCTGAGCAGGCCCATTGACGCTTCTGTGGGCCTGCAGGCCTGGGGAGCAGAGCGTGCCGAGCAGAGGCAAGACGGGGTTGCAGGTCCTGGGCCACGGCCTCCTCAGGGGCACGCTCGGGCTCAACTGGCCTTCATGTGCACTGGGGACAGCTCGCCAACGCTCCTCGCTTCCTGCACAGCCCCCGCACAGTTCCTGAGTGACCGCGCCCGGCCAGGCGCCGGCTTCAACCTTTGGCTTTGGGCCAGTTTTAACTAAACCTCTCTTTTTGATCTGGAAAAGGGCAGAGAGAAGGGAAATCCTTTTGTCTGGGAAGCCTTCTGAGTCTGAGGGCTGTAGGTTAATGGAAAACATGGCCTCTCTGGAGCAGAAAACCCACTATCTAAATGTCCCTTCTTCTTAGCACAGGCTGCTGCGGAAAGGGGCCCTTAGGCCCCTTTGAAATTGTGCTCCAAGGCTTCTCAGGACAGCTGGTCTAGACCCCACCACATAACAGAGGATGAATCGAATACTGCAAAGGCAAATGTGGGCACTCTGGCGAATCTGTGCACCCCATGGGTGTCTCCTGTTCAGGACTGACAGTGAAGCAGGGTGCCTGCACACTGGCTAATGCAGAATTCATATTCTGGGCCTCTCAGACTGCCAGTTTATGCTTGTGGTCCTGAATTTCTTGGGATTGAGGGCAGTAATTTGAAGTTCACAAAAATGTGACACAAACTGGGAGCTCTTACCCTCCCTTTGGTCCAGGTTCTCCTGGGCTGAACTGAGCCCAGCCATTCAGTCAGTTTACAACACTAGTATGTTTAGAGTACAGATTAATTTATCTTCCAAATTCAAATAGACTTTTCTCATAACATTTACTGCAGTTTCTCCTCTTGGAAAGACACAAATAAGAGGAATGACTGCAGATGACTCATTTTACAGCAGCTCCTAAAATCCCCTCAGATTTGGTTTGTCCAACCTGTCTAGACCAGCCTTTGGACGAGGAGCATTGCTGTCCCCAGCAAGGAGGTACCTCTGTGATTCTGTATCCTGGCAATGGCTCCAGATGGGTTTTCCAGGTGTGATCCGCAGCACCTGGCTGCTGCCTGCTGGGACAGCGGCTGCCGTAGCCCTGCCGCTCATCCCGAGCAGTGCTGTGCTGTAGGGAATTTGCCTTTTCAAAAACTTCGAGCCAGGCAGGTCTCCAGCAGCCACAGGGCAGCTCCTATCCTCAGTCTCAGGGGCAGAACAGCAAACCCGCTCCTTGCTTGCAGCACTGTCAGGGCAGTGAGACCACATTCCTTCAAGCAGCAGGAAGGAAGGAGAACCGTAAGGAGATCCACAGGTATTTAGCCAGCACTTTCTGTGCACAGCAGCAGGAGTGTTACCTGCCAACCTCCCTTCAGGCCCCGTGGTCAGAAAGCCCTTTGTCAGTATCCTTCAGCCAGGGGCAGAAGGGAAAACAAGAGTGGGGGCAGCAAGGACAGTGACCACACCGCAATGACAAACACGCTTGTGTCACTTTTATTGAAATAGTTACAACTGTAGCTTTGGAAAAAAAAGCCTGTGAATGCCTCTTTAGTGTTCACACGTGAGGGACATGATGGCAGGTGATTTGTATGAGAACAATGTACACCTTTCATCATACAAAGGCCACCAGGGTGAATGGAGACAGAGGGTGCCACAGTTGGCAAGTTAAAAAAACAACTGAAATCTAGTTTCCCTCTGCCCTGATGGGACTTTCAATGGCATGAACTGGGGGCGCAGGCCCAACTTCCAGCCACCAACTGCCAGACGTACATGGAGGATCAATGCAACTGATGATCATTAGACCACCATACAGAGGTGGCTTCCCTTGGTATGCGAGAGCTGAGCTGGGGCAGGTTTGGGGCTCCAAAAATGGCTATGGTGGACATCACTGCTTGCAGGGGCACTTGTACCACAAAGATCAACTCTCATTCACTGTGGTTCAAACATTTCTTTTGTTTTTCTTCACTGGTTTACTGTTAATTGAATGAAAAATGTGTCTCTGACAGAATCTAATTCAGAAAACTTATGCTTACCTTTCAAATGAACCATCCCTAACCTTTGAGACTTCTCCCACTGCTTTCTTAACACCTAACTAATATGGCTGCCTCACCTTTCTCATAAAGCTCAGCTGGCAGCATCACCCTTCAAACAAGTCCCATCGTGGAAGCTCCTGGGAGAGTTTCCTTGAGTGGACTCACATGGATGCTCCCTGGCTGCATTGCTGCCTTGTTAGCACATCCCTGCCTAGTGCTTGTCCATACCTGACACAGTTGGAGCATGCTGGACCATGTACTTCGCTGAGGGGGAACTTATTCCCTATCCAAGACAGCATTAGTACTGAGGAAGTCTGCATTGTCTCAGCCTTATGGTCTGACATCTTTCTGGACACACAGGACTTCGCTTCAGCATCCACTTGACAACACTCTCAACTACTTCCATAGCTCCTTGACTTCTTGCTAAAACCAAATCCTACTTATCACCTCCCTCATAACCCCTGACTAGGGATTTGATTAGGATCTCCACCCACACTCCTTCTGAAAAGAGCCTTCTGAAATTGCACCATCACCAAAAATAATGCTATCTCTCCTGCGACTAGAAGCACCAACTAGTCCCAGCAGAAATCACAAAAGACAAATGGTCGTCATTCTGTTGAAATGACTAAGCTAGATTTCTGTGTATCAGCTGTGACTCTGCAAAATACTGGCTTTGGGAGCATTAGGAGAGAAGAGAATTAATCTATAATTAATTGTGGGGGGAAAAAAAAAGGAATCTTGGAGTAAAGTGTTTTCCAATGGCTTCTGAGAGCAGAAGCTGGGCTTTGGGCTCCATTTGGTGTTTCTGGAGCACAGCCTCAAGCAGTAGTGAACACCTATAGCGCTAGACCACTGTGGGACACAAGCAAGTAGTGATTTCTGGGCTGGATGAAGGGCTTTCCTTTAAATGACTTCTGGTGATGAACAGTGAACAGTGGAGAACTTTGGGCATGCTTAAAGAACATTGTTATCTTATTCAAATAGTTTTAACTGCCTCACTTCTCCAGTCATCTAGACACACTAATGACTGAAGAAAACAAAGAGTTTCTCCTTTCCCCCTTTAAAAAGAAATGGAGGAAGACTCTGCAGGTCAGCTAATTCAGGGGCAGTACCTAGTGGCATTCAGCCCACTCAGTACTCAAGTCAATTAAGTGTCTTCAGTAGAAAAACAAAGTAAATAAAAAATAAAGAATAAAAAAACCACCAAAACCCAAACAAATGTTAAACCCCAACATTACTTACACATTAGTGTTAAACTTTACACTTACTGCCCTTTGCAGCCTGTTAGATTCTTCACACCTTGGTCATATCTTACAGAATATTTTCTAATGATGCACAAACACACACACACACACACACACACACACACACACACACACAATGTTCCTAGACAAAAGTCTCTTCTGCAAGTGCCACTGCATCACACTCCTCTGTGGCCATCTCTGTTGGTGGCTGGCTCCTGAGCCACTCTACCTTGCTCCGGAGAAGTTCATTTTCCACTGTTTCTGCCGCTGTCCCATGGCAGTTCTTAGTTTCATCATGTTTGAAATATTCCCTGACAGTGTTTCGGATGGAAGCTGGGAGGATGATACGGATGGTGTGGCTGAACGTGTTGAAGC